GTTAAATGGAGGGGAGCGGGACAAAACGAATACCTACGGAAGGAGGTACAAAATAGAATAAACTAACTTTAAGTTGTTGCGTGCGTAAGTTGAAGGTGTGCGCGGCGCCTCGCACTGCGAACTGTGCCTATCTAACTCCAGAACGGTAACTTGGAGCTCAGGTAATTTGGATTAGACGAACTCCTAATCACCAAATTTTTTTCAGGAATATTAAGAAACCCGATAAACTATAAAGTATAAGTAAGTTAAAAATATTCATATTTGTCACACCCCATAAGACGTGCAAGTAAACTTCTGTGTTAATTTATCGTGCACTATTTTGTTGCGGAAACAATAAATTAATTAAACATTTTCTGGTACCAAAAGTAGGATTCCACCCCATAAATGAAACGAACCGATGCTTCCGACCGTTTATAAGTGTTTATTCTCATTAATTTTGCAGTGATTTCTAAGGAAGAGAAAAACGAAATCCGCTGCCTGCCTGCCTCCTTACGTGTTCTGCCTTTTTCTGTCAAATTACCTTTAGCCTACATTCCAGCACCCATCATCTTTGGAATGCTTCTGGACAATGTGTGCCAGGTGCGGGCCACTCCAAGAGACTCCAACATCTGCCAGTCCTCCCTGACCAAGAATCTGAAGTTGCCCTCGCTGGTGGCCATTAAGGGAGCCTGCCTGGAGTACAATGTGCACACACTGCCCTACGCGTGGTGTGGTGGTGTGGTCTTCTTCAAACTCATTAGCATAATCTCTGTATACTGCACATGGCGTGTCTCAAAGTGAGTCTTTTTGTGCTTTCCACTGCGTGCGTGCGTGCGTGCATGCGTCTGAGTGTGTGATTTATTTAAGCACATGGCAACCCCTCTCAGTGCCCGAAGCGTCGGCACACACACATAGACGTCCTTAAGAGCCGTAGAACCGTCGTCCATAAAGGTTGTGTTCTTCGGTCGAAGTAATAGTTTGGAGCCTCCTCGATTTTTTCACCCGCGCGACTCTCAACCTTGAAAAATTGTAGGAATTAAAGGGCTGAAAAACACTGCTTTTGCGTAATATAAATACAGTATGGCTAGTGCTGCAAGCAAAATTCCATAATTTGCAACAGACTGGTAATTACTCGAAAACCAGCAATAAGTAGGGTTGTAATACAGATTTTCACGTAGCCTACTCGCAAGTCTTTTCAGTTACCTCAGTATGCCGGCTTCTTAACGATCTTCTTCCTGAACCCTTGCAAAAAGAATAATCAATAATAAAATGGCTACTCATTCAGTATGCGCTTTTATCATTGATTTTTACTGCCTTTATAAATTCAAATATAAATTATAGAAAACATGCACAAAAATATTTTCTCTTGTGTCCGTTTAGTAGGAAATTACGCCTTCTTTAAATTATATACTTAAAGAAAGGGCATCTTTCAATTTAAAAAAATATAATTATGAGATTCTTTAATGACTGTGAGATGTACGTCAATTTATTAATGCTCCCTATAATGTCTACAGCATGATCCACATGTGCTGCTAAATGTTATCAGAACTATGCGACCTGTTCCTCAAACCGTAGGCAAAAACGTTTTTTTTCCCGAAACAGAATGCACACAGCACGCTGATTGGAAACCTTGAATTCAGGTGCAGCTGTCGGCAGATTTTTAAAATTATTAGGCAATTAATAAACCTTTTTTAAAACCGAAAGATACCCTTTCTTAAAGCATAAACTTTAAGGAGAGCGTGATATCCTATGAAAAGGCTACAAGAAAAAAATATTTTCGTGCATGTTTTTATAATAAAATATATTTGAATTTATAAAGGAAGTCAAAATCCACGATAAATATGCGTACTATTTAAGTAGACATTTCTTCTGGGATCTGAATTTTATATATGGGCATAAAAAAGTTCATTAAAAAGCCGGCATCATGACGTCACTGAAAAGGTTTGAAATTAGACTGCACGCAAATCAGTATTGCCACCCTACTTAATGCTGGTTTATGAGTGATTACCAGTCTATCGCAAATTGCGGCATTTTGCTCGCAGCACTCGCCATACTGTATTTTGCAGATACCTGTACATTGCACATTGCATATGCCACCAATATTAACCGTTTTTGCTCAAAAGTTTCCAATATTTACTCGAAAGACAGTTTTTGAAGCCATAAAAATCTCGCGGTCCACTGACTTGCAGCCATTTGCTATATTGGCTCTTTGAAACTTAAAGCTTGTTCTAGACCAGCTGTGCGCGACTGTCCCCGACTTTTTACCCACGATAGGCTTTTCTGTTATGAGGAAAAATCGATAACCATCAGATGTAAATGGCTTGTGAGCAGGCTGGCATAGCAAATAGTAAAAAAAAGTATGGGTCATATCTTGTGAAAAATGTAAAAATTTGTGAAAGATTGATTATCCGTAACAAACCAGCATTAACGCGTCCACGAAAACTTTGAAAAAAATAATGAAACAGGTTTAAAACTTAAAGGAAACATAAAAAGTAGTTCAATGTTTTTAGAAATGCCATTTTTTAAAAGCAGCATATTCCTAAACGGTGTACAATTCCCTTGACTGTGATCAATAGGTATGAATGTAAATATAGTTGTGGGGGGAAATTGTGAACATCACAGTTTGTGAACTATCCTCTCGTCAAATTCCTTCATCGGTATTTATGGTATAGAATTACAATTAGTGTCAGGTTATCCTTAAAAGTCCCGCAAATGTTTCACAATGTCCCATCCTAGTATTTTAAAAAAAATTAAACCATGTTCCATGTGTTTATCAAAACCTTCAAAATAAAGTATTTTGTAAAAACATTTACCACAGAGGTTAGTTTTGTATATTAGTTATTACGAAACTGACTGTTTGCGGCATTTGTTTAGAAAATAGAGCTTAAGAACCATTGTGAAAAAAACTTCCCATAATACCTTACTTCTTTAAAAATCCCCGAATAAATTATGCTTCAGCGGAAATTTTATTGTACAAAGAAGTATCTTGCCACATGCTTTACATTTAACAGGAATATTTTCAGTGCTCTTCTGCACCGTAATTTTATACGCATTTTATTTAAATCCTAAGCCTCCAATGCGGTAAAATAAAATACGGCCAGACAAGCTTATTGCAGCGTTTTGTGACAAAAATTCAGAACTTGACAAGAAATGATTTTATAAGTTGAATTCATTCCTTGTTTCTAGAAAGCAGTGCAATCTCCTACACTTGCTTCCAAGTGATCTTCACTACTTTAAGATCAGATTTTCCATTTCCGGAAGGGATTTATGTAAAAAAGTATTTTTGCATATATTAGTGTTCTTTGGTAGCATGACGCACTAGAGCAAAAGGTTTTGTTCTCACGAACTGAAGTAAATGTTTGCATCCCAGGTATGTGTATAGATAAGGAAGAAGCCGTTTCGATCACAGAAACCATAATTTTACTCATCTGAGCTTTCGGACTCTTATTGGAGTCCATCGTCAGAGATAGAAGCGTCAACAAAAACAGCCAACATTCATAGGAGGAAGGGGACCAACCAACCACCAGTGAGGTCAGTCAAGAGGTGCCTGCGCAGGGTGATTTTTTGCTGGTGTCAGATCGATAAATCAATTGTCTGAGTTCTCATCCGATGCTCAGGCTTTAATCAATTCTCAGCCTGTTTTTTTTCTGTCATTAAATAGTGCAGGAAATTTATTGAATATCCGGCAACCTGCGATTTCGCCAAATTCTTGTATGTTTTCCTTAAATTAAATAAACTACCATGCCGTTTTATATACCAGAAGACTTTCTGAGTATCAAATCCACCCAACTGACCAAAATAAGAACACCCAGTGTACTTGTACTTGATCGGATTAGCTCCTGTTTTTGGATGAATCAGCTTCACGGATAGGGGCGGCCAATTGCCGGCGATCGGAAGCGAGCTCCTCGCAGATGTCAACCCAGAGTCGCAAACCGTAAACGGTTACGAGACCCATGCGTTGGACGTCCGACCTGACAGCGTTGAGCCACGTCTTCAGTTGACCGTCATGTCGGTATCTCCAGTTTGCACTACAGGAGGGATTCACGACCAATCTGCAGAGATATGTTGATGGCCAAACCGTTGTAATCGGTGATGTTGGATGTATGCTGCTAGACTTGGAAGTTTGAAACACCTGCGATTTTGCTCAGCATTCGACACCCTTGTCGAACTCCAGACGTCAATGGGAAGGAATCTGACTCTTCACCAAGGGCTTTTTCTCGGGCTGATGTTTTGCTATAGTAGGCTTGCATCAAATTAAGCAATTTCGTTTGGAGATCGTCAGCGTTTCGGATGGACGGTTTCGATTTAGAAATTAATAATGGTAGATGGACGCGCATGGACCCTGTTACGGAACATATTCGTCGCGTTGCGTCTTGGTTGAATAATGATGGCTAATGAGCCAGCACTGGTCATTCCAGTCTCCCCTCTTTTCGACTGGTTTCCTTCTGTGCCTACGGAGTTCTTGATGGAGCCGCAAGGTCGAACGGGACGAGTGGATCCTGTACCGCCGTTAGGTGCTCTCTCTCTCTACCCAATCGCAACGGTCAGGCATACCGCGGCTTCCAGTATTCTCGGTGGGGTATGTCTGGCCGATGACGCTTAATAAGCCAGAAATAACCATTCCACACACACACTCTCTCTCTCTTGTCCCTGTCGGTAACGTTAACCTGTCCTAAATACTAGCTGCTGTCCGGGCTCGATAGTGGAGCCCAAGGCAGAACGGAAGGAGAGCCCCCATATAGTGATCTGGGAGCGTTCATTCGCCAATATCAATTTAAGCCAACGAGCCCGTGGCTGGGCGGTTAGAACGTTGGACTTCCAAACAA